TTTCTGGTTAGTTTGCATTCTTTCCATTGGCACTGGGAATTATTGAGCACCTTTTCAGGACTATTATTGTGTTGATTTGCATGATTTGATCATTTACAGCGCTGCATTTTTATATATATATATATATATATATATATATATAAAAACTAATCCAGTACTAATTGGATTAGTACTGCTTGGACCTTGAAGAAGGGGACATTCCCCGAAAGCTTGTCCTCAAAATTGTATGTTAGTGCAAATAAAAAAAAAGTATCACGTCAGTACTCAATTGTATATGTTGACAAAAACTATATAAAACAGTAAAGCTTTCATTTCTTCTCAGATATATGTGATTTGCAGTATAATGTTAGAACAGGTGAACCACACATTTTCATGTGACAGGACATAATGTTGTGCAAATAAAATTCCAGACAATCAACCGGGTAGAAGAGTGACATGGGAAAGGCGATAGAAATAACCAAGTGCTATTTAGGCATGCACAGTAGTTTGAGCCCCTCAAATGAATTAAGACTCCTAAATATGAAAAAGGATTATGCCCTTTCCCAATATTGTATGAGAATATGGTGCAAGTATTTTAGAGATATAACCCCAGTCAGAGTTCTGTACATGTTAAGTTGAACAAAATATGTACATAATTAAGAAAATGTGTATGTATATTAGGTATAATGTGCCATATTTCATAGTAGAAGAAATGCTTTTTTTTTGTTTATAAAATTGTTTTACTTTGAAATAATCTTCTCATTATAAATGGGTTGGAGAAAGAGGCAGAGAAAAATACTTAGCTATACTTCCCTATCTGGGACAAAGCTGCACGTCTCAAACTGGCCTACTTCGTAGTTTCTTCCCAAGGTCAGATTAAGTAGAACGGAGTTACTTGTAATATATCATTCAGGCCTGCCCTCCCTAGGAGATTGTATTGTCTAAGTAACGCCCTGTAGGAGGTCATGTCCGCTGTGATAAAGGACAAGTTTAATCATACTGCATGAGTGCTCTAATTATTCATAGTTTACAGTCATGTGATAGGAATAAAGGTGACTGATAACAGTGTATTTTTTCAAGACCTCAGATAAACAGGTTAGTTTAGATGAAGGACTGCAGTATTAAGCTGCTTCAGGCCGCCATGCATGAAATGAGGAATATGAATTATTTCATACTTTAAATGATGGCTGGTTATCCCAAGAATTAGACACACACACACACACACACACACACACACACACACACACACTTTGCATGGCTGTGCATAGCAGAGCCATGCAAATCAGTGTGCTTACAGTGAAGTGCTAACACAACCACACATTGTAAAACAGAACACAGTTAACCCTTTGATCACTCCAGAGGTTAACCCCTTCCTGCCCAGTGCCATTAATACAGTGTCAGCGCTTTTTATTAGCACTGATCACTGTAATGGTGTCCCTGGGGATGTCAGTGACACCAAGTCAGTTCCCCCCAGTGTCAGAATGCCTGCTGCAGTCCCGCTATAAGTCGCCGATATTACTAGTAAAAAAAGAAAAAAAAATCCCAGTATATATACACCGCCATTTGTAAAGGCTATGTCTTTCACGTAAATCAATTTACACGTATTGGGATTTTTTTTTTTTTCGCAGACATGTAGCACAATACATTCTGGCCTAAATTTATGACAAAATTTGTTTTTAATTTCTTTACTGGACAGGTTTTTATAGCAAAAAGTCAAAAATATAGATGTTTCTCTAAATTGTCATTTTTTTTTTTTTAATAGCGCAAAAAATAAAAAATAGCAGACAATCAAATACCACCGAAAAAGTTCTAGTAGTGGGAAAAAAAAAAAAAAAAAAAAGGACGTAAATTGCTTTTGGTTGCAGTGTTGCATGACCGCACAATTGTCAGTTAAAGTAACGCAGCACTGTAAGGCAAAAAATGGCCTGGTCAGGAAAATCCTAAGGAGGGCAAGTGGTTAAAAAAAAAAACAAAAAAAAAACAAAACAAAAAAGTTTGCTTTGAAACATCACACACTTTCAGATTAGTAAACAAGACTAGATTTTACTAAGAATTTTTAAAAAATATCTTTAAAAAGGCGCTGATACCTGCCTCCAGCACTGAAAGCTATAATATGCTAAAGAGAAGTACCTTTTATTCAGAACACCATCCGCACACTGCAGTAAAAACACCTAAATGTACATTTTACCTTGGGTCATTTAGAATGGCACCACCACACACTCTTACAGTAGGCTGCAGAAACACCACAGTGCATAAACCTTAAGTTGTGTTTAGAAAAAAAAAAAAAAGCCATGTCAGATTTGTAAGCCATTATCGTAGATTGCCAGCCAATTATTTATAAATAGGGTTTCCTTATTCCAGTAAAACTGCCCAGAATAAAAAGTTAAGGGGGCTGCCTTGTGTGTATTGTGACAATTATGCGCATAGAGACATGGACACTGAGAGCCATTTTGTCTCTCCCGATTCTCCCTCCTCCCTTTTGAATGGAATGTGAGTCTGTAAGTGAACTGAGCTCAACATATGCACAGCTGGATAAGCTCCATGGCTGTAAACCCCTAATTAGTCTGGTTCCAGAAGGTCTGCTTGAAAAACCACTTTCCTCTACCCGGCCGTAAAACCATAACTCAGTTAGTCATGAGCTGTTGGGCCATTAGAGCAGAGTGTGCCACAAAACGTACATTCCACAGTCATTTTTCATACAAATTCATAAACATCAGCAGGAACTGGGCACATTGATATGAAGTACATATTCGGATAGGTCATTTTAATGAGTCACATGACACCTTACATCCCTATGTAACCCCTACAAGAGGGTAGAAAGCAATTTCTTTTATCCGGAGTGGCAGAATATGCAAAAGTGTGGTATCTGTGCAAGCGGAATATAATTCTAAATATTAATCTGCCAGTTGCTAGGATGTTACCTGTACCTATTGAAGGTTATTGACCGTAGTATGAACTTGGAAGGGATTTGGTCATAACCTTGGTCACCGCCTAACACCCATCCCCAAATGGGGTGATTGGCTATTTGTTCTCAGGAGACACCCCTTTGAGATAATAGAAAAAGACTGACAGCCTGGAGAAAAGTAGCTCTCCTTTTAACATCGATCAGGAACCATCTTGAGAGCAAAGGCACCCTTTTGTTCGGACGATTGGACTCTGCTCAAACTAAGGACTTTTGCAAGTATTCTGCCTTCTGAAACTTTCTTTCTTTTATTTCTCTGTTTTATTACTCTCTTTATATATATTTGTTACACTCTTCAGAGAATACCTGTCTCTGAAGAGTGCTACTGTATGTAATAATCCTCTGAATACATCTGTCTGTGGCGACAGTGTTTATTACAGACGCTTATGCTAATATAGTGTCCCGGCTAAGATTTGTGAGTTTCCTCCTTCCCTGTAAAAAGGTGGTGGTGGCAGCGTGAAGGGTTAATTGTGTAATTAACCTGACCCAGTAACAATCGCTCTCAGGCTGCTGGCACATAGATTGTGGTCCCGCAAGCTGGAAAATATTTGTGCAGGGCGCAGCTGAGAGTAGCATTGTTACGCAAGTGACAAATCAGTCTGAGATCGGCTGGTCCTTTGGTCACAAGTGGGTGAGAAGGGCTGGGGTCTGACGCCACGCAACCGTCACATGTATCACTGTTTTTCAGAGAAAGTTGTTACATCCCAATCTGAAAGTGATAGTATCTGGATAAATTTGGGACAACAAAAGGATTAGGGGAACTAGAACACAATCTATTTTTTATGTGGTAAGGATAGAGGTGTCCATAGATACAAGATTATTATTGTCACCCAAGGTTATTATTTTTGACTGAGCTAAGCATTTCAACCATTCTATTGTGTTCACTAACACAGCAAGACTGTTATCATAGCAATGAGTTTATACTGTAAATGTTGACATAGAAAAGTGTATAAAACAGTGTGGGTTTTTTTTTTTAGAAGAAATCATGAAAACATGACTGTTATTGCCCCCCCCAGAACATTTTGGAAAGCGCTGCTATTAAGAACTTTTTAACAAAATCCTGGGGTTGTTTACACCAAACACATCCATTAACACACGCTGCTCTGATGGCATTGAACCCCAAATGCAGACTTAAAAAGCAAAGAGCAGGCCAACACACCCAAAATACAGATATTTCCAAATGCAGGCAACACAACAGAATGGTATGAACAATGGATTTTCACATGTCCATGCATTTTTCTGGACTGGAAGTTACAGCAAAATGCATGACAAGGCATCTGGTGAGACTGAGCGATAAATGAACATTTGCACAACTACATGGTCTGCTTCTACTTAACAGTACAGTACTTAACAAAGTTCCTAAAAAGCTAAATTAGGAATGGTATTGCAGCAAACTGGTTATAAGAAGATGTTAGAACAACAAATAACCAATATTTGGCAAAATCACAGTTTAAAAATAAACACAACACACATTCCATCTCACCGCATTTATTTAATTACAGAACAGTATTTCAATGTGGTTTGGAATGTGTATATTCTCTATGAAGTTATACAGGGTTACAAAAAAAAAAAAAAAAATGTCCTGCCAATCCTCCTTTGTCTCTGCTTTGTTTTTAATCCCCAGTATCTTTTGGTAGGCTATGTCATCCGTTTGCCTGCAAAAATCCTTCCTAAATTTGCCTTCAAAATTAAGCTAAAGCATAAAAAAAAAAAAATCAAAACATTCCAGGAAACAAAGACGCTTGTTGCTGACAACAGGACATAGGTGAATAAATTTACTCTCTTTGAAATAGAAGCATCCCTCAATATTTGGGAGCTTGAAAGAATATGGTCTTCATTCTTGCCAAAAGGAGAACATAAATGTATTGCCCTAAAGTAAGGAATAAAAATATTAGAAATAACAAAATTCTGGATCCCCTTCTCTGTTAAAGGAGCGCACAGAATTTGCAGGATAGTTCGTATTTGGGATTTCTGCTTGCCTTCAAGACATACAGAAAAATCCTATAGAAGCTTCTATCCAGAATCTTGGAGATAACCTGTGGAAAATACACCACCATCTTTACAGGATCTCATATTTGTCCACAATGAAAGCCGTCTCAGCTGAAAACCTCACAGGACTGTTGCCATCCACATTAGTCACTTTGGTTACCTAAAAAAGAACCACAAAAAAAATTTGTGAAGATGAAAAAAAAATTGTTTAAAATACAGGTAATCTAAAGTTCTTTAAAGTGGTTTTAAAGGCTGAAGGTTTGTTTTTGGTTTTTTTTAACCTTCATGCATTCTAGGCATGAAGGTAAAAAAACCTTCAGTGCGCAGCTCCCCCCTCCACTCTCAATCCAGAGATGTGCACAAAAGCCAAGGCTCTCCCAGGTCTCCCTCTCATTGGTTGAGACACAGCAGCAGAAATCATTGGCTCCCACTGATGTCAATCACAGCCAGTGAGAAGGGAGCGGGGGCAGGGAATGGGGCTTTAGCCATGCTCTGTGTGTCCCATAGACACACACAGAGGCACCTCAAGAGCAAGCACGCACGAGTGCCCCCAGAGCAAGCAGCTTACACTGGGGGCACTCAGCAGAAGAGGAGGATCAAAACCACTGCACAGAGCAGGTAAGTATGATGTGTTTTTTTTTTCAAAAAGAAAAAAAAAAAAACCTTTATAACCACTTAAAGTGAATAAAGCAATAATATGTTCCACTGTTCAAACGGAAAAGTTTTCAGCAGCACCCTTTTTCTTTTTCAATGTCCAATGTATTTCCACCCCACTAACAGTTCACTTAATTAGCACATAAAAGGTTACATTCTTGCACGCTTTTTAAATCAGTATACTGTTTTATTGCTTGATCACTTTAACACAGTAAATTCACTTGTCTGCGTGTCTTCTTCCTCAACATTAGGACTCATCTCCCTATACAACTAATTCTAACATTAAATACCTACCCACAAAAAAGTAAAAAAAATAAAAATAAAAAATGGTTGCAGTATGCATGCTAGAACATTTGGAAGATACAGAATGCTTATATCCTTACATCCTACACATGCAGGCCTGGGCTGTACATCCTGCAAGCCACGTGGAAATTGTTCCAAGAAGAATTAGAGCTAGTGACTAAAGTTTATGAATCATTTCAATCATCAGTGGAAGCACCTGTAATATCTCCTAGTCTTCTTTATGGAGTAAACATAACCACTGCATGACTGACAATCTTTGTGTCCATTAAAAAGGCCACGTCCACTATCTATACCCATAATTAGGGTGTAACATGAAACTTGGTCATGCACATCATCCCCAAAACTTACACTGCACCCCTTCCCCTACCTGAATTGCAGGGTACATCTACCAGGAGAACCCCAATTTTTTTATTTCCAATTTAGCACAGCACTGCAAGTGGCACTGCTCACACAGCTGCCTCACACAGGTTTGTTCCATCTGCCAACATGGCAAAGGGGATAATATGTGGAGAGCATGCCAGCAATCCTTCCTCCCTCACCACTTTGTAAGCTCAGCCTTGCTTCCTCCAGCCAGCCAGCTCCATACCTTAGTAGGACGCTGGAGGAAAGCTATGCAGGAGCCTGTGCACACTACTCACAGATGCAATACTCTGCAGGCTTCATACGCACATATTCACACGCAAATATTAGTAAATGCACCAATGTTGCTGCATTACAATTTTGTTTTGTAAAAGATGGATTTACACTTTTAAACTGCACAGCAAAAATACTGATTAACAACATCCAAACTACAAGGAGGGATCTATTTCGTGTTTTTAATGGCAAATTGCTAAAGTATAAAAAAAAAAAAAAAAAAAAAGAAGAAGATGGAGGCTCAACTGTCCTATGCCTGTTCCTCTAACTTTGTTCTCTTTTAGAAATCTTACCTGTATGCTGCAGTAGTTTTTCTTGGACACAAAAGACACTGTTACTGGGAAGAAATCATTAGGGTGACCAGCAATGCTGAATTCCAGACTTCCAGTTTTGTTTTTGCTGTCGATGACAGGGAGTGTCCACTCTAATATATTCCTTCGGCTGTCATGGTGGTAGTCTCCATCTATGTCTCCAATCACTGGAGCCCCAACTCCTGACCTGTAATAAAGCAAGATAGTAGAAACACTAAAATGGAGTTGTGTGTTTTTTTTTTTTTGTTTTTTTTTTTTTTTTTTTTTTTTTTTTACCACTACTTATTTTTCCTCTGGTTAATTTTCCTCTAATAGTGTTTCATTCACAAACATGAATCACCACCAGGATGTGTAGTCCTTTTTCCACATGAAATGGGAATTTAACTGTTGAAAGTTTTATATTTTCATAGGTCATTTTATCTCACAAAGTGATATTTCATTTCAAACAGCTGTTACCTGCGCTCATCAACAGAATCCTACTGAAACTCAGTTATCAACAAGATAAGTTGATGTTATTAATGCAAGGAATGATGATGACCGTTGTAGTAATCTTTGTGAACTGACTTGATTTATCAATGAACAATGACACAGCTCAATTCTCAAAGCTTTAAAACACATGTAAAAAGCCCCATACACAGGATGAGATTATTGGACGAGGAGTTTTTTTGTATTTGCATGCTATTATATCGAAAGTAAAGATGTTATTAAAAGTTACAAAAATTCCTGTATGACACAATAAAAATTCAGACGTGATGTATTTGTACATCTGATACGTACTGATTAAATGAAAACCAAATGAGAAATATTTTCATGCTTGTCCCTTGAAATAAAATTAAAACAAAAGCCGTGTACTAATGATCAGATGATCGCTTTGAAAGCGGTATTTTTTGTACGATTTTCTGATCATGTGTGCTAGGCTTAAGGATCCTTCATTTTCAACCATTTGACTAATTTTCAAATCTCATTGGACTCAAAAAATCTCATTGACACATTTACAACTTTCTCTAAACAAGAATTTTTGTCCTTGTGCGTTACAAAATTCTCAGAGCATTGGCATTTCATTTGAAAGATTTTGTTTACTTTTAACATTTGATTTTGGAATGACTGGACTTTACCACAAGAAAATCACATTCAAGGTTACAAAATTGTCACCTTTGAGAAAAATATTCCATCCTGCTCCTTCAAATTTTCTTGTCACTGCAGTCAAAAACAAATGTAAATTTAGGGCAAATTCACACCAGTGCATTGATCTGCGTTTTAGAGCAGCTGTAAAAAAGCAGATCAATAGAAGGACAACTGAAACACAACAATTTCCAATGTGTCCTATTCACACCATAACGCTAGTGTCACAGCTGCCCCCCCCCCCCCCCCCTCAGCCTCTTGCTCTTGCTCTGTCCCTGCTCTCTCTGCCAGCTCTCATCCGTGCTCCGCTCCCCTCCTGCAAAGATGAAAGGCATTCCTAAGACAAGCTGGAGCCACGCTACCTCCCGGGTAGCTCTCGAGCTATTCGCTGTGTAGCTGACGGAAGGGGCCCGGGCTGCGGCTGCCTAGGACCCACCTTCTCCCAGAGCTGGGGAAGACTGTCTGCTAGACACCAGAGATCAGTGATTACATGCTCTCTGCCTGCTTCACTTGAACTGCTCTTGTGCTGACCTCACACCAACCCCCCCTGTTGGATTACTTGCTACAGAGACTCACACCAAACTCCCTGTTGGATTACTTGCTACAGAGACTCTCCCTTGGCTCTCGGTGTTGGACTTTAAGTGTGTTGGTCCTTCCGTGTCGCCCTGTACTGGCGTATTCACCCTCCCTGCGAACTCCCCTATTCATTGACTGTCATCTGTTTGCCTCAATAAAGCTTTGTGCGTTTGCCATCTACTCTGTGTGTTCTGTTCTCCCTACGCTCCGTCACAGCTGCGTTGACCTGTGTTGCACTAAAATGCAAAATGTGTGCATTTTAGAGCAACGCAAGTGGATGTCAATGCAATGCACAGGATATCCTGTGAAAATGCAGTATGCTTTAATACGCGCCTAATGCATGTCAACTGACGTCAAAATGCATGTAAACGGACATCAGCGTGTGACTAAAATGGATGGAAATGTACATCCACTTTCCATACATTTAAGTGCAAGTCATTGCTAACTGGCTCTTAACCCACTAATGACTAGAGAAACAAACATTCTTAGAACATTTTTTTTCCTAAGAATTTTCATTCAAAATTCTACCCTTCGATGGCCAGCTTTAGCTTTGCTAATTAGGCCTACAGTGTTCTAATAAGAACTAGTGATGGAAAACACCACTACTTATAGAGCAGGCTAAATGAAGAATGTTACGTACCTTTGTGAATTGAAAGATTGATAAACTGTGGTATCATAAAAGTAACAGCTAAGTAGGCAAATCTGCTTTGTAAATTCACCCAATTGCTATGATTTTAATGCATAAATTGAATCATATATAAAATGCCCAATATGCTTCTGGCAGTCCTTAATGACTGGACATACTAAGAATTTATAATTCATGCTTTAACACATACACAGTAAGCCCTCTAAAAATGAACGTTCAAGCTACAAAATTTCAAAGGTGCGAACGTGTGTTTGCATGTCCAATCATGTAAAGCTGGGTACACACCCAATTATTTTTAGTTCAACCCACTGGGTTGAATGAAGAGAAAAAAATAAAAAAAACTCAAAAACTAAAACAGATGTTGTGTCGTAAGACAAGCAATGTTGTTGCGTCGATCTCCCCTGCTGTGCCTTTGTGTTCCGACAGGGGTTACCCCCCCCCCCCACCAGAACACATTGATTAGAGCTTGAAGCCACTGTCTGCAAATGCTGACTTTGTTGGACTTCTGAATATATTAGAATTACGAATGTGCTCTTGGAATGGACTTGTAGGGGATCTTACTGTGTATATAATATATTGAACTTACTGCATTCTAATCTGCAGCCACTAGAGGGCCGTCGTAATGGAGTTAAAGTTTAGCTGACCTATGATAGCGGAGGCCAAGTCACTAGAGATGGCCGACTGTGATGTACGGGGGTGGGGGTCTTATTTTGCACAGCTTACGCCAGCTACATATACAACATACATATTAAAAGAATACTTTTTTTGTCTGTAATACAGGACACCGGTGTCTTTTCCTCTCTTACCTTGATATTTATCTCATCAAACCAATTTCAAAAGGTATGCACTGCCATTTCTACACAGAATAAACTACAGATCAAGTTGTCAGACCAGCTAATCTATACAAAAAAAGTCTCTAGATGATAACATTTCTACGCGATCAATGCTGAAAACTTCTAGGACTAAATGTATTCACATAATTCTGTCAAAGATCTGGGTAGCACAACAAAGCTACCCTATCCTACTAAACATGCAGCATTACCACTATCTACTTCACCGAACGTCAACCTGTGTCAACTGTTCCTCTCTAAAGCTTCCATAAAAACAATGGACTTATGTGCTTATATTATGTCTTCATAGAACAACAGGATTCAGCATGCCTCTTAACATATAATACAGTACAAGTTCCATTTGGCCCCACTGATATGGATCTCATCTCTGAAACTAAAAGCCCCTATTTGCTTCAAAGGTCTCTTAAGGATCTATAGAACTAGTCTGAGCATGTTCACCTTTAACCAGCTTAAGTCATACTATGCATCAATATTATATCAACGGTTTGTATAGCTACAGGTTTATACATGCCCCATTGATGTCTCTCCAGTGTCTACAGAATTCTATATTTTTTGGATACACACTGGTTGTGCTTTTTTGAATTTTATGTATCAATATGCCCAATGTTCAGTCAATTTCGCCAGTACTACATTGCCTCATATCCCTCTTGCAAGTTTAGATTTTATTGGCAATCAAAATAAGCAGAGTATAGGACTTGCATAGTGCAGGCTTGCATGAAAAAATGACTGGCTGCACTGGATTAGAGAAATCTCCCTTTATGGTAGGCTGTTTGGACATGTTCACTTCAATATGGTGTTTGCCAATTACCTTTAGAAGCATCCCACTAGTTCCATTTTCTGTGTTCCACTTGCTCTCTGAAAGTTGCTACTTAAAGTGGTTGTACAGGTTCAAGGTTTTGTTTTTTTTTTGTTTTTTTTTTTTAAATTCTTCTTCATGCATTCCAAGAATGAAGGTAAAAAAATCTTATGTGTGCAGTAGCCCCCATTACTTACCTGAGCCCCATCACGATCCAGTGCTGTGCACGAAAGCCTCAGCTCTCTGGGGACTATCCCTCTGCTCCCGCTGCTGTCAATCACAGCCTGGGAGTCAATGCGCAGAGAGAAGGGCGGGGCCAAGCCACAGCTGTGTGTGTGAATGGACACACACAGCAGCAGCTAGGCAGCAAGCCTGCTTGGGTGCTCCCACAGCAAGCTGCTTGCTCTGGGGGTACTAGGCTGGAGGGACGGGACAGAAGCACCGGCGGGGAACCAGAGGAGGATCGGGGCTGCTCTGTGCAAATTCCACTGCACAGAGCAGGTAAATATGACGTTTGATAGAAAGCGTGGTTAGAGTGGGAGGACGTCATATGACATCCTCCCAGAACGAGAGAACCGCCACCCGCCATTTCCTTACATGGCGGGCGGGAGACGGTTAATATCACTTTAGGTATGTTTATGCAGCAGTGTACTTTATACTGACAATAAAACACAGAATTATGTCTATTTATAAATAGTATTTTTTCACTCCATGCCATGATCAGCCACAGCCTTTGGAGACTGGTAAAAAAAAAAAAAAGAAAAAAGAAAAAAAAAAGTGTAATGTATCATACTGTGCAGCTTGATATTGCAGTAGGAATAGTGTTAAAGTGGATTTCCAGCCTAACACTAACTATGCTTAAAAATGTTTCCTCCCCCTGGGGACTTGAAACACCTACTTTCACAAAGTTGGCTCTCAACTCTCATACCACTCCTTATTTCATACGGGTATGGGAAGCGGAACTGGGGCTAGTTTTCACACCGCACCAGCTACAAAAAATTGTTAAATTATCTCATGTATCCTCAATAAGCTTTAGGACCCAGGAAGTATGTTACAAATTTCTATCTCGTTGGTACAAGATGCCTTTTCGTCTGGCTAAGACCTTCCTGGGAGCTGATAGTAATTACTGGAGAGGCAGCACACAGGAAGGCACTTTTATGCATATTTGGTGGCATTGCCTCAAAATTCTAAAATTCTGGAAGGATATCCTGCCCTGGATTCAAAGGACCACTTTTAGACCCACACAACTCACCCACCCTCCACCACTGTCTTTTCCATGCTACCCCCTCCTCTCCTAAATCATATAAGCATAGTGTTACCCCACATCTCCTGAATGCGGCCAAGAGCCTTATACTGAAATTATGGAAACAACCTCTTTGTTCCAACTTAAAGGATTGGAGGGCGGAAGTGGATAAGATAATGGAGGCTGAGCGCTGGGTCCATACTGTTAACAGTACCCGTGACAAATTCCATGACATATGTATGTATTACTCTCTAGAGCTGGATAACCCACAAATTCCATGACATATGTATGTATTACTCCCTAGAGCTGGATAGCCCACAAATTCCATGACATATGTATGTATTACTCCTAGAGCTGGATAGCCCACAAATTCCATGACATATGTATGTATTACTTGGATAGGACATGGTTTGGCTGGATGTATTACTCTCTAGAGCTAGATAGCCCAGATGGTACTGACTTTTGACTGTTACTATCCTCAGGGAATCCCATAAGAGTTGCCTTTAGATCACACCACAAACTGTTTGATGATGCTTGCCCAGCCAGATATTTAGTTTCATGCTGCTTGTACATGCATAGACCCTATGGTCTTCTGACCTTTTTTATATGCAACATGTATGCTCACCCCAACCTTGGAATACGGATACCCAGTGATCACTGTTTTTCCTCCTCTCTCTTTTCTGTTTTTTTCAATGGTTTCAGCCACATTCTTTATAGGTCTAGGTTTTACACTTTACTTGATGCTCAGACAAAGGACAATGCTTATGTCGTATTAGTTGCCCGTTCACAGCCCAGTGGTTATGTGCAGAGACATAGCTCCTGCATGGCTACTGAGCTTCCATGTACTAACTTGTGTGCCTATTCCTGTGGCCCATAGCAGCAGGCAGTTGCTGGAATGGTGCTGAGACTTGACACAGAATCTCTAATTTTGTAAACTGTATTGTTATCTTTGTCTCTGACTATTTGTTTTGTTTCAGAAATCTTTTGCTTCAGGTTAAAAATAAAAGAGAAATGATACCAAAAAAAGCACAAAAAAAAAAAAAAAAAAAAAAAAGTTCCCTCCCCCTCCTGCTACCTATCCTGACTAACCCATATTTAAAAAAATAAAGATGTGTGTACATAGCTATTTTTAGTCCACTCTGGTACAGTCACATGATCTAGCAGCTATGGTTCCCTTGTGTTAGTGAGGGGTGGCTGCAGGGGAGAGAAGGAAGCACCGACAACGGCTGGGCCATGGGAGCCCATGAGTGTCATCACTGTTACCAGAATTCACAGCAGGTTGTCCAGTCCTCCCTCCCTCTCCCTTTCAGCTGCCGCTCACTGAAACAGGGGATCATGTGACCAGACCAGACTAAAAACAGTTTAAGTATACACATTTTTTACATGGATTATGCAGAAAAGGTAGCATGAAGGGGGAGAACATTTTTAAGAATAGTTATTGTTATGCTGGAAGGCCACTTTAATATACCCCAGTTATAAAGGGAATGGAAGAGTGCAGCATAAATGTACTAAAGCGCTACTTGACATAATATTGTTACCCGACATCAGTGACTGCAACCCAGTTGTTTGCTAGCTTGATAATTCAAAAAGCAAAGATTAAAAGCTCATGAGTGTGAGGTGTATAGCATAAACCGGTCATGAGAGGTACAGAGGTGGTCACGACTGACCTCTTCCTGATGACGATTGCAAGGCTGTTATTTTGATCCAAAATAAGTATGCTTAAAAGTCAGAATTTCCTATCTGTATACTTGTTCTGGGTCAGGGACACAAAGTTAAGCCAGAGGATCAGCATAACAGCCAGGCAATTCACATTTTCAATCAGAGGTCAGCAATGGCAGCACCCATGTTTCTATCAGAATTGGTTGCTTTTTTTTTATCACAACAAATTGGACTCAAATACATATGACATGCATATCACTTACGGCAGCGGGATTGTAATGACAACATCATTCAGTTCTAGCTTGTCCTCCTGAAGTTCATACTCTATATTTACATCACAGCCACTTCCACTTTCTGAAGGCCAGCAGTTAACTGTTCAGAAAGAAAAACAGTGTATATATAAATGGCTACATTTTGTTAAAATTAAACACCATAGAATTCTGCCTGAATAAAATGCATTTATTAAAATTTTTTGTTTCACTGCCCAGTCTGACTTGGAGTATGCACCATAAACATGTCAGGGTAAGGCAACTGTCACCTAGGTAGGTAGCAGTACTTTGTCACATTCAACTGGACTTGTTCCGTAACATTGTTATTATGCCTTGGTTCAAACTGATGTGATGCTGGAAATGCACAGTAATTGCTGCGTTTCCTGAATCACACTGCACGGGGGGGCGGTTTGAACACCCATGCAGTCCAATTCCCTTTTTCGTGCAGAAGTGGTGCGAGTTGAGCCATACAGAGTAATAGGCTCAAATTGCACTGCACAGAAGTGCATGCGATTTGCACAGGAATGCAGTGTGATTCCTGTGCAAATCACATATGATGGGACAGTGTGAACCAGGGCTAAAGCTGAGGAAGATACTTGGATGAGTGTCAGGAACACACCCCAGCATTTATAGCCTCAGGGTTAACTCACTCTTCTTAAACTAACCACTGTGGAATGTCTCAAGGCAGCGAGTGGATTAGAATGATGTTTTGCAACCGAATTACATGTGGGTGTTTCAGAGCCCATTCACACTTGTGCAACTTGTTATGCGGCATTGGGGTCCAAGACCGCATGACAAGTCGCACCCTATGTTTCCCAAAGAGTACCCTTCATATTTGTGCGACTTCAAGTTGCAGCAACGTGAAAGTAGTTCCTGCATTACTTTGGTCTGACCTTCATGCGACTTGACGGCCATAAACTTCAATGTAAACCTTTCAAAACTGCGTGAAAGTCACACCTGAATGATATACATGCGACTTGCGTGTGCAACTTTGTACAGCACAATCATCCTTGGTCAAAGCATAAGCCCACACCAAAGTCACATCAAAAGCACGTCAGTCGCAACGAAACTCTCATTGAATGGAGCTTAATTATAGGGAAATATAGTACACTCAGTGGCCACTTTGTTAGGTACACCTGTTCAATTGCTTGGTAACACAAATTTCCAAATCACATGGCAGCAACTCAATGCATTTAGGCATGTAGACGAGGTGAAGACAGCTTGAAGTTCAAACTGAGACTCAGAATGGGGAAGAAAGGATTTCAGTGACTTTGAACATGGCATGGTTATTGGTGCCAGGCGGGGCTTTGTCCGAGTATTTAAAAAACTGCTGACCTACTGGGATTTTCACTCACAACCATCTCTAGGGTTTACAGAGAATGATCCGAAAAAGAAAACATATCCAGTGAGTGGCAGTTGTGTGGAGGAAAATGTCTTGTTGAAGTCAGAGGAAAAAGGGCAGACTGGTTCGAGATGATAGGAAGGCAACAGTAACTGATGTGAATATGGACCAAAATCTCTGAGGAACATCCAACACCTTGTTGAATGTATGTCAAGAAGAATTAGGGCGCTTCTGAAGGCAAAAGGGGGGGTCCAACCCTGGTACTAGCAAGGTGTACCTAATAAAGTGGCCGGTGAGTGTATATACCTGTAGCAGCCATCCAAACATTTCCATCCTCTGGCATCATGAAGTGCCAAAGCTTTGCCAGTCAGATTGGCAAAGTGCACAATCCCTATTGGCCAGAGAGGCTTCCCATTATAGCGATGCCCACTCCAACCGCAACTGTTATTTCAGTCAAGATGATGTTAGGTACTCTAGCATGGGAACTTAAGTTCACAAGTCTGCACGTCTGTGTGACAATTACAAGGTGACTGCACTCCATGGTGGATTTCTAGCTTATTTCACCAGGGAAAATGTAGCATAAAGAGTAGGAACACGTAAGTAGAAGAATGAAGTTGGCAGAGAAAGTAAAGATGGCAAGGAGATCTTCCTGCTAAAATCCTGAGATACAAGAAGCCAGTAAGTACAGTACAGACCAGATTCCACCTACAAACTTACATGTATTTTTTTTTTGCAGACTGTCACAGATCACAAAAAAAAAAACCCAAAAAAAAAAAAACCAAAAAACATTGAAGTAATACACATTTATTTTAATTAAAATCTTGAGAATTTTAACATTCTAGCATTTAGCACTAGACAACTTTGTCAAAATAGTGAAGAAATAACAAAATCTATTTATATATAATCCATAAATAAACCATTCTACAATCTTACTGGTGAGAGGAATCGAGGCCTCATCTGTTGTCTGCAGTCGCCATTTTAAGACGCCAACATCATTATTAAGAGGGAAAGATTTTTCTGTGTTTTTCAGTCCAATAATAGAATCTGATGTAAAAAGTTTTTTGTCCACATTTGGGTGGGTCTATGGGGGAAAAAAAAAGGGAGTGAGTGAATTATTTGTAAAACACATCAGAGTGTATACTTTTAGCTTGGCAAATCCTGCTGTGAACATTGTTATGTGAATGAAAAATACACCTTTCTTTTTTTACCTTGCATGAGCCTACAATACAATTTCCAACCAACCTTGATGGTAATGTTTCAAGGTGCAGGTTCTGAGCATCTTTACTCATCATTTACCTTTCCTGAGAAAAAAAAAAAACATTTCAACTACTTCCTGCTCACCCACAGTACATTTATGGCGAGCGGCATGGGCAGACTGGATCACTGATTACCACCTATGTAGATGCAGCAATGTTTCAATGCTGCAGCTGTCCACTGCTAGACCTACATCGAGAATTGACCAAAGACTGACCAGCTGCTAGTCAGGCATCTGGGTGGATCCCAACATCATTGTCAGGATCCTTCCAGAGCCTAGAGTGGCTCTGTGGTGTCAGCTGATAGCGGACTTTAGCACGCTGATGGCTGAATCTAGGTCATAGGAGTTCAGAACTAAGTGCACCCCTCTAACCCACAGGAGAAGAAATATGGCCAAATAATAGTGGTGCTCCGAAATGAAAATTCTGGTGCCAAAACCGAAAATTCAAAATGCACTTGGCCGAAAACCGAAATGCAGTTTTTAAAAATGAATATATATTTTTTGGGAAAAAATAAAAATAAAATTTTTTCATTTATAAATGGATATATCTCCCAATTTTTTGTAAAATAGGAAAGAGGATATTACCGCGAGTAAATAGATACCCAACATGTCACGCTTTAAAATTGCGCATGCTCGTGGAATGGAGTGAAACTGCGGTACTTAAAAATCTCCATGGGTGATGCTTTAAGAATGTCTACAGCTTAGCAGTGTAAAGTCACAGAGGAGATCTAGTCTGAGAATTATTGCTCCTGCTCTGACATTCATAGCGATACCTCACGTGTGAACATCGTTTACATATGTGGACATGGCCTACGTATGCATTCACCACCATGTGCGAACAAGGGGGGGAAGGGGGCACTTTAAACTTTTTTCTATTTGTTTGGGTTTTTTTGTGCTGTCCCTTTAAAAACAACATGTTTAATCACCTTTATTCCTATCTCAAGGGAATGCATGCATCCCTTGTGCTAGAAATAATTAGTCACAGGTCCTCTTTATGGAAAGATATGGGGTCAATAAGACCCCACATCTCTCCTCTACAATGTAAAGCATTAGATTAAAAAAAAAAAAAAGCATTGATCTAGTGCTTTAAAAAAATGGCCGGAACGGGAAGTGACATCGCTCCGGTCCTCCAAGGGCATAGAGATGAGTGGCGGCCATCTTTCCTTCACTCATCTCTGTGCCCAGCGCCGGGATCGAAGGTTTCTCAGGTAAGGCTGAGAACTACCAGGTGGCAGCAGCGAGCGAGGGGCGGGTTTTTTTTTTTTCGGCACCTGCAATTGGTGCTTTTTTTTTCATTTCGGCCAAAAAGGGGTGTTTTCGGCCGAAACGTTTCGGCCACCAAAATTTTGATGCATCCCTACCAAATAAGCTTAGACCATACTTCTTTATTATTCCATGTCCAGGTATAGGGAATCGAAAGGACACATGCTAATCTCTTCATAAGGCCAGACAAAGCTTTTTAAAACACCACTGGTAAGAAATCACCCTGACTGGTTATTAGTTTCATAGTGCATTAAAATAAATGAAAAGGGGGAAAAAAAACCCCCAAAAAAACTAACCTCTTGGTGAGATTATTACATTCATACTCTCTTTGAGACTTACCTGGAGCTGCACACCTTTCTTGTCTTCATTGTCAACATGCACTCGGATTCTTCCAAATTTGTCATCAGCCACTCTGAGCATAATGAGACCATGGACTTCCATATTCTGCAGACCACCATCCCTGCTGCAGGTTAAGGTTATCTTCTCTTCAATCTTCAAATGAATGCTACAATTTAAGATCAATATATCTGTGAAATAAAACTGAATTTCTGTTGTCTTGGGTGTTTGGTCAAGTCAATGAAAACTGGTGATACTAGAAAAGACAAAGGTCTTCTATAAGTAAACAAAAAGACTTTGCCAGTACTGACCTTTCTATGTGGGCTGGTGGAGGAAGGACTTTTGCTGCTTCTTGTTGTCGCTTTCCAGCAGATGAAGTAACAATAGTTTCTCCTTCAGATTTCAATTTGTCCACAAAGTTATCTACTTCTTTTCCTTTAGCCCCAAGTTTTAGTGCTTTGTTGGAGCCGGATGGCCTAAAATGATACATCAACAAATGCAACAGTCATTTTAATAATACAAATACTTTGTAAATCATTGTTCACATATAGTATACTCAGTGCTAAACATTAAAGTGTATTCAAACTTGCGAATGCACCAGCACTGCAAAGTACGAGGCAGCCTCATTGAAAGGCTGTTGGCTCTCGCAGCTATTTGCAGTCACTCGCATGTAATCTCTCATGCAGCGATCACATGCGAGTGAATGGCCCTGGACGCAGACTGCCTGTTGTAGTACGAATGCGTTTGCAACTGTAAATGCACCCTTACTGATAAAAGTGTGCCTAAAGCCATTTTATTAATTTTTGTTTAGAAATGAGTGGAAAAGGGTTAGCAATCCGGTCAGTTTTTATTGCTAAAATGCAAAAAATTACCAGCACACCAATAGGTGAAAATCTCGAATCAATTGCAATAACAGCAAATTTAGCCTTTAGAAGACATCAAAAACACCAAAGGTTTCAGAAAAACTAGTCTACTTTCTCAAGGTGACAGATTGAGTATACAGACATTGTAATAGTTTGTCTTTGTGACCACTGTCACCAGGACTGAAAACGAAAGGAAATCCAAAAAGGCAGAGTTGTAGCAGAACAGAAAAAAAAAAAAAAAAAAAAGGGAAAGTCTTACAAATGGTGAAACTTGTTGAAGTAACAAACTTATAGGGGAGGATTTCCCTCACTTTGTGAAAGTTTCCTGTTGTGTCTATGGGACAGGAAGTGAAAGTAAATCTCCCAGATGGTGTATTACATATTTCCGATATACCACTACATCATGATAAAAAGTCAACAACTATCCACCGTCTCAATTCAGCCAAAACCCGGATTCCTTTACACCGTAAATCAAGTTCAATTCTCTTGGTAAAAGATTGGCTGCACAAAATTGATTCCATGTGTATCATGGAAGAAACTAGAGCCTTGTCTTCAGATATATTATTTCAGTTTTAAAGAAAGATTAATGTAGCACCTTCTATTTACCTAAAAATAATCATAAATATATAAAAACACTTTATTAAAATAAATGATTTGGGGAGGGGCCAGCTGGCGTCACGACGCAACGCGCAATCATAGTATAGGATAACAGAGGAAGTGTATTGCTGCTATGCGATACATATCCGGTCTGATCTAGCACCAAGAGCATGTGAGTGCCTATTTTTTACTTTAAAGTGTTTAAACGATAAACCACTATTTCTACCTATTGTGGTTTTTTTTTTACAGATCACTGGGGAGAGGAGGAGGAGAAGGAAGACAAGATGTAAAGCCCGTTGTGGGAAGGAGTGCCAACAGGGGAATCCGCATCTTATTCTGTCCCATTTAGAGGACACAAGTGTGGTGTGACCAAAACAATGTATAATGTGTGAGGTCAAAAAGCTCCAGGTGAGAGCACAACTTGGGTGTTGGTAGAGGAACACTGTTGTCTTGTGAAGATAAAGTGGTGAAAGATTAAAGCTACGTATATGGGACTTTATATATTCACTAATGTGCACAAGATTTTTTTGCAAAAGTGTATATATTTATGATTATCTTTAGGTATAAGAAAGGCGCTGCACTAATTTATTTAGTTATGAGACACATTGATGACTATGTGTAGGGTGTAAGCGACTTTTATTGGAGTGATTATTGATTTTTACATGTTTATGCATTTTGGTTGCTTGCGAGATTTTTATATATATTGTTTTAGTTTTGCAAACTTTGGCTAAACTGGTACCTGTTCCAGGATTCACTCGGTTATAAAAACAATTATTCAAAGCTAACAGCTATATCTACAGCTTTTTTGTGATCACCACCACATTCTCCTATCTTTATTTCATTTTCCTACTCTCAATTTTTCTTTTTTTTTTTACTCATATCCTACTAGTTTTCTTTTATTTTGTAAACACATGTAATTCATAATTCTCCAGAATGGATGCTTTGGCCTACATACATAATTAGAGATGAGCAATGAGAATACTGTACCCACTTTAGGTAAACAATATTTTTATTGAAGCAATTGTATATGATAAACAAGACTGGTTGTACAGATTGTGTGTTTGTCATTACAAAATGCATTAGACAGAAAAAGATTTCTGCCTATAATTTGTGTTATTATATTGTAACATACAGGGCTATTTTTCCAGTGGGAACACAGGGGAACGCAGTGCCGAAACCTCTAGCACAGAATGTATACACTGACAAAGGGGGCTGGGGTGTGCTGGAGGGTCTTCTTGATGCGGATTGTTGAGGATCCATTGTAGATGGGAGGTGTAATGTTGCTGGGGGGGTCTACTGTTGCTGGTGGGGATATATTGTTGCTCTGGGATTCTTATGCTGTTGGGGGATCTAATGCTGAGGGGGCAGGGTCTATTGATGCTGGCTACTGGGGGATCTATTGTTGTTGGGGTGTATTGTGTTCCTGGATTGTTGTTGAAAAGGATCTATTTGGCTCTGCACTCTCTAAAAAGGAGCAGTACTAGGAGGTATCTAGGGTGCAGAAACAAGGATCAGTGCTCAAAGGTAGGTCAGGGGCAGAGACAAGGGGTTACTGAGGATTGGGGGGGGGGGGGGGGGGGGGTTTGAGTACCTACACCTATTCTGAGAAAGAAAAGCCCTGGTAACATATATCGATATGTTATATTTTATTTAATGTCCACTGTTTCCATATTCATTTAGAATATATTATTTAAACTTGTTTTACACCTGTTCTCTGATAAATTCAATAAATGTATACTGAAACATGAAATCTCTTCAATAGGACACAGACTGCAAAACAAAAAACCCAACAAGTGTTTTAGCCCTTCCCTAAACTATCCAAAACTAAAATTTTGTCTGTAAGAATTTGCTTTATTAGGAAAATTTAAAAATGACAATGAAATAAATCTTACCTGGTTGATACAGGAGCAGACTTTGTTTTCTCTGATTCAATAATGTTCTCTGTTATCAAAGCTGCTGCATTACTGGAAATAGATGAAGTACCAGAACTTCCAAAGCCTCCAAATCCTGGAGCTTTCTTACCCTGACGCTCAGCATCCCTCCTAGCCTGCTGTAGCTCTTTTGCTTTACGTCTCATCTCAGCCTTTGCCTCTCGTTCCTGGGTCTATTATAAAAATAATAAATAAAAGGAAAATATGAGACATTATTCCAATAATTAATATAACACAGGGACTGAAAACATAATGCAGAATACAGAGGATATGCGATTCCACTAAAAATAAAAGTAAGGTGCCACTGGCTACCTGACTGCCATGTGCTTTTATATTGCTGTCAAAGTTCACTGCAAGACTTCTCCCCGTACTAATCTGTCAGATTCGAAAACAGCGTGGCCATGCAGGGCTCCACCCACATCATTCATTCACAGACTTTCGTGAATGAATGAACTGCAAGTCACGACAGCCTTGGCGGCTGTGGGCTTGTAGTTTTCCTAGTATTCCCGTCAGAATATCTGCTTGGCCGTACATCCCTGTACGGTAAGCGGATATTCTGACAGGTCTGCCGGAGACCTGCATGGCATCAGCGATCTACTGATAGCTAGTGCAATGCTTTCCAGGCTCCTGCAGACAAAAATAATAAATGCAAATTTTTTTGCCTGCGAAAAAATGTGCATGTATTAATTTGGTCTAAAAGGTGAACCAAGAGGGGAAGTTCCATTTTAAGCCTTTGTCCCCGCCCCCCCCCCCATTAAGGATTGGCACCTTTGACAAGTACCCGACCCAATCCCACTTCCGATCACCTCGATCATAGCGGATGTTGTCCTCCCCCCTCCCTCCCCGTAGTCTTCAGGAACATGTGACAGGGACCATTCAAAATACGCAGCGCTACTCGCGCATGCGCAGTGAGCACCCGTCTGTGAAGCTGCAAGCGGTTACAGCCAGGTGCCCACACTGAAGATGCCGGGAGAAAAGCCGGCCGGTGAAACCAGCCATGGTGAGGACACCGCTGGGCCGAGGGACAGGCAAGTGTCTGTATTTTAATAGTTAGCAGCTACAGTTTTTGCAGCTACTGCCTTTTATTATTTTTTATTCAACTGGAACTCCGCTTTAACCACTTGCCCTCCAGAGGATTTACCCCCCTGACCAGGCTATTTTTTTTGTGATACGGCGCTGCGTTACTTTAATGGACAATTGTGCAGTAATGCAATGCTGCACCCAATTGAAATTCACGTCCCCACGAATAGAGCTCTCTTTCAGAGGTATTTCAGCTGACTTTTTGCTATTAAAAACATGCCCAGTAATAATAAAAAAAAAAAATTACATTTCGTCATAAATTTAGGCCAAAATGTATTCTGCTACGTCTTTGCGGAAAAAAAACAAAAAACATCCCAATAAGTGTAAATTAAGTAGTTTACGTGAAAATTATAGCGTTTACAATAGGTGGTATATATACACTGGAAATTATTACTTTTTTTTTACTAGTAATGGCGGCAATCAGCGCCTTATAGCGGGACTGAGACGGGCATTCTGACACGGGGGGGGGGGGGGGGGGGGGGGGGGACACTGACTTGGTGTCAATGACATCCCCAATAACACCAACACAGTGATCAGTCCTAATAAAAACTAACACTCGGCAGGAAGGGGTTAACATGTGGGGCGATAAAAGGGTAAACAGTATGCTGTTTTACTATGAGGCTGTGTTTCACAGTAAGCACAATACAAAGCAGTGTGCAGGAGCCAACAGGGGAGAGATTTGTGTTGTTTATACATAGGTCTCTCCCCCGTCAGAGATACTTGGCGATCACCAGGTGCCGGCTAGAAATCAGCATTCGGGAACTGGTGATTGGAACCGGAGGCCACGAATGGGTGCGCGCCCCCTACACAAAACTGCAAAATCATGTAGATATGCACACGTGATTCTGCGCACCCGTGCCACCCTGTAGAAGTATTTCTGCTATAGTGCGGCGCAGAAGTGGTTAATCTCAAAAGCAAAACATATTTCAGCTTACCACTTCCTAGATGTGATAGTTTCCTTTTTTAGGCTTCTATTTTCATCTGGTGACCTGGCCAGTAAGTTTTTCAGAAGCTCAAGCTCCCCAGCAGAATATATCAATTTACATGGATTGGACAGATCACTTAACACTGGCAGGGCTGATTAAAATAATCAGCTTTAATTTATTCATGTAAAACCTTTATCCCAAAAAGGAAAAACACTGTTGTTGTAACTGATCATATAGTGTGAGCTGGAGATTGGCTTCAATTTGTTATGGTATTTAAATTTGCTAATACATTTAACACACCCCCCAGACTGCTGTGCCTTCTGTGCTCATTCCTCCAAAGTTTTGTCTCACCTATACAGGAGGTGTGTTACTAGCCAGATCGCCATGTGAAAATAGAGGGAAAATAGCCAAAAGAAAAGAAAACTGACGCAGCCACCACATCTGGTATGATTGGTAAGCTGCAATACATCACATTTTTGGATTGAAGAAAGGTAAAAGGAAGGGAAGATCAGTATTTAAATATGTGGCTAAAAGTGGCTGTAAATGGTGATGGATTTTTACCTTCATGCATTCTATGCGTGAAGGAAAAAGCCCTTTATGTGCAGCTGCCCCCTCCAAATACTAACCTGAGCCTCATTTTGATACAGCGATGTGCATGACAGCAGTGTCTCTCCCTCCTCATTGGATGAGACAATAATGAGATCAACTGGCTACCGCTACTGTCAATCACAGCCAGTGAGCCAATGAGGAGAGAACTAAGGCAGGGCCTAGCCACACTTCATTCACAGGAACACGGCTCAGCAGTGAGCCTGCTCAGGTGCCCCAATAGCAACCAGCTAGCTGGGGGGGGGGGGGGGCACTTGGCAGGAAGGAAGGGCCAGGAGTGCCGGTGGGGGACAAAACCATTGCACAGAGCAGGTAAGTATGACTTTTTTTTTTTTTTTTTTTTTAAATCTACCTTAAATTACTATTAAATATTTAATATCAAGTGGAAGCTGTTTCAGGGAACCTTTAAAGGTTAACTCCACCTTCCTTACCATGTTACAGCCATATGTAGGATATACATGGTGCCAAACTGACATTTGCTATATATAGCAGAACATGGAAATGCGATTATTTTGGAAAATATAAACTGCTAAATAACTTAACTTTTCTCATCAGCAGTATATAGCAGTCGTGTGACTTCTATCAGTGTCCAGCAGAGCACATGTTAAAGCTTGTAGGAGTTTTCATTGTGCTCTAGGAAGATGAAGAACCCCTGACCTCTGTCTGGATAGCACTGATTGGTCCTGTGCTGATCACATGCACTCTCCCAAGAAAAAACAAAAAAACCTCTCTAGCAATACACACCAAACTGAGCACGTGAAGAGTGAATGCACATGATAGGTCTCATCAAGAGATAAGAGGGGGACACTGAAAGAAGGGATCAGAGAAGTCAGGATCAAACAGTTGTGGGTTTAGTAACACTAATAGTGGGACACTCACTTTGCACTCACCCATTCACAAAATGTCTTATCGTTTCACAGAATACAAGGAAAGGATGGATGGACAAGGGGAAAGGAGGGACAGAAGAATGTCACAATCTCTCCTTGACCTTTCAACGTTTCTTAGTGAAATTAATGCAAGACATTTTTTGTGAATGGACAAGGGAAGATGAACGTGGTAAGCAAGAAAACCAATACTCTTCACTTTATAAGAGTTGTAATTGTAAGTCTGAGTGCTGGAGGTTTGGTACTTACAGTAGTGTCCAGGATGAATAAAACTTATCTAACACCACCAAAACATGGGACACCCTTCATTAAAAAGGTATTTTTACATGACAATGTTCAAAATTGTTTTCCCCCAGTGTACAGCTTTAAAAAACTCCAGAAGATTCAAAAGTTTAGTTAGATCCACTGCATATTGGAGATGGTTTATTTTTATTCTGAACTTCACACGGCATTAACAATGTAAAGTGGTTTGTAAAATGACCAGTTCCTGGAGTCTAGCGCTGTCCTCCCACTGCAGGTCCCTAGTGCACCATCTAGGATATGGGAGCTGGCTTTGGCTTCCTGAGGGAGCACAGCTGGCTCCCCAGTGTACAAGCAAAGGGTCACGCATCACATGTTTGGTTCTGCAGTCTCATGGGACATCTGACATGTCCCAGTAGGCTGCAAGAGGGAAGGGGGAGAGGCAAATGGCATCATTCTGGCCTAAAAATACCCCAAAAAACCCCACAACTCAGTTACAGGCTGTTAGGAAGGAGTGAACCAGCAGTACATCACTTTATAAGTAAAGTTCCACTTTAAGCAATAATAGGATAAAGTGAAAAGGTACTGAAATAATATATCTAAAAAAAAAAATATAAACAATATCAAATCACACGTACAGCCACATACATCAGCACAAACCGCAGTTTTAAATAGATGCACTGGTTCCAACTTCCAGTCTCACCTCTCTGACGGCTCTGAACACTTTCTCTTCATGAGAGTCCATCTCAGTGAATGTCCTGATTTGGGCCAAGTTCACATTTTCTCTATATCCCAAAGCCACAATCTCATCAAATGCAAATATTAGATCAAAACAGTGATCAGAGATTTCAGTCTCTTCCAAAGCTCGACAGTATTCTGGAATCTGTAAAAGGTTAGAATGTGTTACAAAAACATTACTCAGCATTTTTAGCAGGTGACCCAAAGGGGGGGAAATGACTAAAACTGCAGCACTCAGAATCTGGTGCAGCTGTGCATGGTAGCCAATCAGCTTTGGCGTACCCAATTAAGCTTTGACAATAAAACCTGGATGTTGATTGGTTTCGATTATAGAGCTGCACCAGATGTTGTACTCTCCAGTTTTAGTAAACATCTTCCACAGTATCAAACACCATCACTTTGTCGATACAGGATTGTTATAAAAGAAGATTACAGAATAATCAATGCTGCTATTAAAATTCCTCATTGATTTTGTAATCTTATGTGTGCATAGGCCCTTATCACTTACACCCAATGAAGAAGAAAAAAAAAAAAAAAAAAAAAGATTAGGAGTGCTGTCATATGAGCACAACAGGCAGAGTGAAAAGCTACAGCTGTTATGAATATCAACAAAGTTCTACATCAAAAGGCACGCTGTGACCATTGAAGTCAGTGTAGCCATATTGTTTAAACTGTATCTCACTGTTTAGGGGTCCGATTCACAAAAACTGGGAAAAGAAAATGAAAGCTAAAATGGAATGGTTGCTAAGTGCAAGCAAACATCATTCTGGTTTAATTTTATCCTAAAAATCAAATAACGTGACTCTCACCTAGGCAAGTGAAATGTCATCTCTTAAACCCTCAGGGGTCCATTAAATAAGCAGTATGGTTACATTAATACATTTAAAAAGCTCAGCTGCTTTCTTTACAAATGTGCTCAGTGTTCTGCTGGCTTCAGGACTCCACAACACAGCCTACAATTTAATAGGTTGTAGAAAGCAGGTTGTGGTATGTAACCTTGTGAAGTATAACAGAGTGGATGGAGATATCTGCTCTCCATTATGAATGGGGGCCTCAGTTTCACAGCTGTTCCAGCTCTGCCCCCCTTAAAGTATCATTTTAAAAGACACACGGAGGCTGCCATTTCAATTTCTTATTCTGCAAATTCTAGTTTCCTGTGTCATGCTCATCCTCTTGATTCAAATATCAAGAACAAGTAGATTGTATACCCCTTGAGGGTTAGGGACTAATGTGAATGTACAATATATATATTTATGTAAAGTGCTGCGTAAATTGACAGCGCTATAGAAGTACCTGAAATAAATAAATAACAAGTATTCAGATAAGAACTTCTGACTTTATTGCAATCTGCATACTCTCTCCATGGCAGGGACAATTTAAATTGAAATACATTTAAACAGAGTGTCAACAACTTCACTTCTACAATTTAATTTATAGAGAGAATATATATCTTTTTATATACACACACACACAGATGTGAGTATACTCACATTTTTATAAGTATAATCTTTTCATGTGACAACACTGAAGAAATGACACTTTGCTACAATGTAAAGTAGTGAGTGTACAGCTTGTATAACATGTAAATTTGCTGTCCCCTCAAAATAACTCAACACACAGCCATTAATGTCTAAACCGCTGGCAACAAAAGTGAGTCCACCCCTAAGTGAAAATGTCCAAATTGGGCTCAATTAGCCATTTTCCCTCCCCAGTGTCATGTGACTTGTTAGTGTTACAAGGTCTGAGGTGTAAATGGGGAGCAGGTGTGTTAAATTTGGTGTTATCGCTCACACTCTCTCATACTGGTCACTGGAAGTTCAACATTGCACCTCATGGTAAAGAACTCTCTGAGGATCTGAAAAAAAAAAAAAGAATTGTTGCTCTACATAAAGATTACATAGGCTAGAAGAAGACTGCCAAGACCCGGAAACTGAGCTTCAAGACCATACAGCGGTTTAACAGGACAGGTTCCACCCAGAACAGGCCTCGCCATGGTCAACCAAAGTTGCTCAGCATTATATCCAGAGGTTGTCTTTGGGAAATAGACGTATGAGTGCTGCCATCATTGTTGCAGAGGTTGAAGGGGTGGTGGGGGGGGGGGGGGGGGGGGGGGGTCAGCCTGTCAGTGCTCAGACCATACGCCACACACTGCATCAAATTGGTCTGCATGGCTGTCATCCCAGAAGGAAGCCTCTTCTAAAGATGATGCACAAGAAAGCCCACAAACAGTTTGCTGAAGGCAAGCAGACTAAGGACATGGATTACTGGAACTATGTCCTGTGGTCTGATGAGACCAAGATAAACGGATTTGGTTCAGATGGTGTCAAGCGTGTGTGGTGGCAACCAGGTGAGGAGTACAAAGACAATTGTGTCTTGCCTACAGTCAAGCATGGTGGTGGGAGTGTCATGATCTGGGGCTGCAGGAGTGCTGCCGGCACTGGGGAGCTACAGTTCATTGAGGGAAACATGAATGCCAACATGTACTGTGACATACTGAAGCAGAACATGATCCCCTCCCTTTGGAGACTGGGCCGCAGGGCAGTATTCCAACATGATAACGACCCCAAACACACCTCCAAGACGACCACTGCCTTGCTAAATAAGCTGAGGGTAAAGGTGATGGACTGGCCAAGCATGTCTCCAGACCTAAACACTATTGAGCATCTGTGGGGCATCCTCAAACAGAAGGTGGAGGAGCGCAAGGTCTCTAACATCCACCAGCTCCGTGATGTCGTCATGGAGGAGTGGAAGAGGACTCCAGAGGCAACCTGTGAAGCTCTGGTGAACTCCATGCCCAAGAGGGTTAAGGCAGTGCTGGAAAATAATGGTGGCCACACAAAATATTGACACTTTGGGCCCAATTTGTTTTCACTTAGGGGTGTACACTTTGCCAGCAGTTTAGACATTAATGGCTGTGTGTTGAGTTATTTTGAGGGGACAGCAAATTTACATGTTATACAAGCTGTACACGCACTACTTTACATTGTAGCAAAGTGTCATTTCTTCAGTGTTGTCACATGAAAAGATATAATAAAATATTTACAAAAATGCGAGGGGTGTACTCACTTCTGTGAGATACTGCATGTATATATATCTATATCTAATATCTGTCTTGACTGGTTTAGGATGTGGTATTTGAGGTTTGCCTCAAGTTCTGTGTTAAGATATCACTTACCACTCTAGAGAAAAGTCTGAGAGTTTCAAGGTCTTCAAGGATGTTGCTATTTTTTGTAGTAATTAGAACCATGTACAGTTTTTCCATAGGCTGGTAGACATAGCGAACGCTTTCTGTTTCCACAAAGGTGTGCTGTTTTCCAGTATTCATTAATTTCGGGAAAGCAGCCAACAGTCCTTCAATCCGTGTCCGAGTCATCTCCACAAACTGCCTTGATACTATGGCCTTACCTGCCTTGGTACAGACCGCAGCAGCCAGCAGCACCTGAAAATAAATTGAGAAAAGTTTTCCAGACAGTTTTCCAGCTTTGAACAACTTGTAGAATACAAAAGTAATCTTATTTAAAAAAAATGGTAACTAGTAAAGATTTTATCCGTATTATATACATCTTTATGTAAGCCAAGCACTAACTAAATCATTTATCAGAAAACACCACTGAAATCTCCAAATGCTAGAACTATGAAAATTTCTGTAAGAGGAATGATCATTCGATTATCTATTTGTTAGTACAGTGCTTTCCACAGCCAATTCCAACTGTTTGAGAGGAAAAAAAAAAAAAAAAAACTATACAAGGGACTATACCTTGATGGACTTTAAGGAGGAAGATGACATCTGAAGATCTCCCCTTCCCCCTACTCCCCCTTGCATGTCTTTGTCCCTTCAATAAAGCTTCAGGCCTGTGACCCCTTTTCCCCCCACATGCCCGATGCTTACTGTTTATTGTAAATTGTACTAACCGTATCTTGCACGATTTTGTAATGGTAGGAAATGTTGTCTAAAGCATGCTATGGTCTCAGGGTAAGCGGCGTTATGCATGACGTGTTGGTCTGGGGATTCGACCCCAACGCACATCACGTCAGGCATCATACCGCTGAGTGAATGTATTTATTGAATGTATTTATCGTATGCCTGGAACTATATTGCAATGTGGTGCGCTGCGTCGCAGTATAGGGCGAGATGTACCCCGATTTCAATCAAAAATACTTCTGCTATAGGGCGGATGGCAAGTGGTTAAGGCCTAGTTCACACTGGCATTGACAGCAGGTGTTTGAGGGGGTGTCTTTAACGCTCCTCAAACACCTATGCAAATGATACTATGGACAGCAGCACACAGTACTGTTCGCATTATCAAAACATGAAGCAATAGCTTCACATCGCTTCAAAACTGAAGCCTCATATTGAGTCTGGAGGAGTTTGAAGCATTTCAGTGCCTCCCATTGAAGTCTATAGTGATCTGCCTAAAACACACTGGCAGTCATTTGCGGGGTGTTTGCGTAGTGTGGTAGCGGCGCATTAATAACATTACAGTTTATTATAGGAGTTTGTGGTGCAATTTTAATGCTGGTAAAAAGCTTATAAAAATGTGTCAAAACCACGCATGGGGAGCTTGAGGAGCATTTTTAAAGCTTGAAAGACGCCAGTCTAACACCCATACTAAAGCTTATTAACGCCTAATGCCTATACTAACACTATAGGAAATATTTGTCAAGTGTGAACAAGTCCTAAGGCTCCCTCCTCCACCAAAACAAAAATGCAATTCTTAGTCCTCATGCACCCTGGACGTTTGTACAGCGGCTGTTATTGGCGTTTCTTTCTACAGCCAGTAAACTCCCCAGCATGTTATCCTATGTGTCCATGCACACAGACTGTAATCAGTGTTTTTTGGCTGGGAAAAAAAACCCCCAGCACTAGCGGGTTTCTAGAGGAGTTTTTTCGTTGTAAAAACGTTCTAACGCTGAAAAACACAGCAAACCGCAGTAAACCAGAAGTTTTGGATTTTTTTGTGGTTAAAAAAAAAAAAAACGGCGGCAAAACGCTAAAAAAATGCAAACGCGAAAAAATGCAGCAAAGCGCTAATGCAAAAACACTAAAAAAAACTCAAGTTTTTAACGTGACTTTACACAGCCAATGTTACCAGTGTTATTGAAACGCCCAGTGTGCATGGAGCCCTAATATGCCTGACAGCTGTCAAGGCAGAAATGCCCAATTCTAGGCAGTTACCAACTTTGAGGAACATTTGTTATAAAAGCAATACAAATAGCACCCTCATGATGTGCTCACCACTTCATTGAATATTTAATGAGAGTTTCACATATACCCCTTCCACTCTCAGCCTTGTGCACATGGCCCTTTTAGGATCTGCCTCAAAAGGCGCATGCATTTGTGTAGTCGTCAGCTGTGATCTGCTGAGTTTTGGCTTTCATGTACAATTCAATTGAAGCTTTATATATATTCCATTTTTAGCAGTGTAGTACTGCATAATACAGAGCATCTTGTCACAGCTCCAGAGCTTACAAATGTACTGAACATATGTAATAAAGATCTCTACTTTGAAACAATGTCCCTTGCATTGGGGGTCAGTGGGAAGAATGTCCCTTGCATTGGGGGTCAGTGGGAAGAATGTCCCTTGCATTGGGGGTCAGTGGGAAGAATGTCCCTTGCATTGGGGGTCAGTGGGAAGAATGTCCCTTGCATTGGGGGTCAGTGGGAAGAATGTCCCTTGCATTGGGGGTCAGTGGGAAGAATGTCCCTTGCATTGGGGGTCAGTGGGAAGAATGTCCCTTGCATTGGGGGTCAGTGGGAAGAATGTCCCTTGCATTGGGGGTCAGTGGGAAGAATGTCCCTTGCATTGGGGGTCAGTGGAAGAATGTCCCTTGCATCAGGGTGTGGGAAGAAATGTCCCTTGCATTGGGGGTCAGTGGGAAGAATGTCAGTGGGAAGAATGTCCCTTGCATTGGGGGTCAGTGGGAAGAATGTCCCTTGCATTGGGGGGTCAGGGGAAGAATGTCCCTTGCATTGGGGGTCAGTGGGAAGAATGGGCATTGAATGTCCCTTGCATTGGGGGTCAGTGGGAAGAATGTCCCTTGCATTGGGGGTCAGTGGGAAGAATGTCCCTTGCATTGGGGGTCAGTGGGAAGAATGTCCCTTGCATTGGGGGGGAAGAATGTCCCTTGCATTGGGGGTCAGTGGGAAGAATGTCCCTTGCATTGGGGGTCAGTGGGAAGAATGTCCCTTGCATTGGGGGAATGTCCCTTGCATCAGTGGGAAGAATGTCCCTTGCATTGGGGGTCAGTGGGAAGAATGTCCCTTGCATTGGGGGTCAGTGGGAAGAATGTCCCTTGCATTGGGGGTCAGTGGGAAGAATGTCCCTTGCATTGGGGGTCAGTGGGAAGAATGTCCCTTGCATTGGGGGTCAGTGGGAAGAATGTCCCTTGCATTGGGGGTCAGTGGGAAGAATGTCCCTTGCATTGGGGGTCAGTGGGAAGAATGTCCCTTGCATTGGGGGTCATGGGAAGAATGTCCCTTGCATTGGGGGTCAGTGGGAAGAATGTCCCTTGCATTGGGGGTCAGTGGGAAGAATGTCCCTTGCATTGGGGGTCAGTGGGAAGAATGTCCCTTGCATTGGGGGTCAGTGGGAAGAATGTCCCTTGCATTGGGGGTCAGTGGAAGAATGTCCCTTGCATTGGGGGTCAGTGGGAAGAATGTCCCTTGCATTGGGGGTCAGTGGGAAGAATGTCCCTTGCATTGGGGGTCAGTGGGAAGAATGTCCCTTGCATTGGGGGGGAAGAATCAGTGGGAAGAATGTCCCTTGCATTGGGGGTCAGTGGGAAGAATGTCCCTTGCATTGGGGGTCAGTGGGAAGAATGTCCCTTACATTGGGGGTCAGTGGGGAAGAATGTCCCTTGCATTGGGGGTCAGTGGGAAGAATGTCCCTTGCATTGGGGGTCAGTGGGAAGAATGTCCCTTGCATTGGGGGTCAGTGGGAAGAATGTCCCTTGCATTGGGGGTCAGTGGGAAGAATGTCCCTTGCATTGGGGGTCAGTGGGAAGAATGTCCCATACATTGGGGGTCAGTGGGAAGAATGTCCCTTACATTGGGGGGTCAGTGGGAAGAATGTCCCTTGCATTGGGGGTCAGTGGGAAGAATGTCCCTTACATTGGGGGTCAGTGGGAAGAATGTCCCATACATTGGGGGTCAGTGGGAAGAATGTCCCTTGCATTGGGGGTCAGTGGGAAGAATGTCCCTTACATTGGATAGATCCCTTTATTTTTGCTGATTGGCAAGGCAAGGGTCCCTTGATTGGGGGTCAGTAACAATGTCAGCATTTAGTGTCTCATTATGCAGTGCTGTCCCTTGCATTTATACAGTGCTACGCTTATCCTAATAATGTTTGCATTAGCAACAAAGATTGGAATTCAACCACCCCCTGCACCAGTGTATTGTACCCTTGCAAAGAATGTCCCTTGCATGGGTGGAGAGGTAGATGTGCTTTCTAGAATGCCAATACTGAACGGCACTGCAGGGGAATAAAGCAGGGGGTCAGCCAGTGCACACTCAGTAAAATGTCTTGCTAGAGAATGTCCCTGTTGTCAGATCACAGACAAAGAAGACCCTTGCATTGAGCCAATGCAAATGGCCATGTGCCTTATGATGGCTATTATGGTCGGTCACAGTGACTCTCCAGCTGTTTTCTTACCTGTACGTAACACTACTCCCAGTGGAGGCCACATTGGTGGGGGTCATGAAAAGGGGTGTGGGGGCGCACACAGAGCAGAAAAGGGGGCGCACACACCCAAAGAGTAGCAAAGTAATGTCCCTGACATTGGGGGTCATACAGACCACAAATTGGGGGAAAATGTCCCACTGACATTAAAGGGCAGAACACCACTGACATCCAACAGTTATGTGACACTCCCCAATGAACAACAATATTTAAGGGGCGCAATTCACACCACCTCCCACCAACATTTAAAGGGCTTTCTAGCACTCACTATCAACCACCACCAAAAAAGGGGCACCAACTCCTGAAAATGTCCTACTGTTGTCAGAAATCTGCAATTTGTTTTGTGCATTACATAGTTCTGACTAGGGCTGAAACAACTAATCGAGATAATCACTGATTAGAATTGAATAGTTGTCAACGATTTTCCCCATAATCTATTTAGTAGGTCATCAACCACACCAAAAAAGGGGCACCAACTTGACCACTGTTGGCCTGCATACAGAATGCAATACTTGTTTACATATCAGAAAACACAGTGCACACATGTACAGAAAACAGTCAGTACAGCCAGTCCATACAGGTCAGTAAGTTCCTGAGAATGTGTGAATGGAGGAGCAATGCCTCATGGGACATGTAGTTCTAGGCAGGAGAAGGAAGTGAGTGATTCTAAAAAGGCACAAGATTTTTCACCTTGCTATAGGGGCACTTTATACTATACTTTGAGACTTGCTGTAGGGAAACTCTGAAAGCAGGAGGAGCCA